TGAGCTAGGCTGACACCACGGCACTCACTCTAGCCTGGGCAACACAATGAGACTCTGTCCCAAAAAAAAAAAAAAAGAAAACAAAACAAAAAAGAAATGATAGTACATTTCATTCTCTGTATTTCCTGTTTAAGTAAAAAATCTCTTTCTAGTTTCTATATATAAATGTTTTTTCTAAGATGAGAAACTTTACTTTTCCATAATTAATAACTTTACAGCATTTACATTAGAATCTCTCCCACCACATATTTTGTATTCTAATGGATATAACTATTTGCTAAACCTTAATTTAGAGTGGCTTTAAAGACTTTTGTAACATGGCAATAGTAAATCCTTTGCCAATCTCAAAGGTTTTGTTCTTGAAAATTACCTTCATTGGCTAAATTTTTTTTTTTTTGCTAGTGGCTAAATTATAATTGGCAAGATCAAGATCACATGGAAAATGGAGGAAGTAACAGAAAAATAATAAAAATGACATTATTTTAAAACAACATGACTTAAAAGTTCTAGGAAACATCTACTTCCAATGCAATCCAGATGTGTTAGCTTTAGATATCTTCCAACTATAGTATATAATACTTCATAATTTAAAAATAAGTAATGGCCAGGTGCTGTAATTCACACCTGTAATCCCAGCACTTTGGGAAGCCAAGACAAGAGGATCATTTGCTGCCAGGAGTTTGGGACCAGCCTAGGCAACATAGCAAGACCGCATCTCTAAGAAAAAAAAAAGAAAAAATTAGCCAGGTATGGTAGTGCATGCCTGTATTCTCAGCTACTCGGAAGGCTGAGGCAGGAGGATCGACTGAGCCCAGGAGTTTGAGGTTGCTGTGAGCTAGGCTGATGCCATGGTACGCTAGCCCGGGCAGAGTGAGACTCTGTCTCAAAAAAAAAAAAAAAAGTTGATTTTACTAAAAAGCCTAAAATCCATCATTAACCAGCATTTATTGACTGTCTATTGTAAAGTACTTGCATTGTATAGAATCTTGTGGGCTGAATGACTGGCATTTGCAAACAAAGGATAAAAATTAATTATCCTTTAGTGATGTCTTTTCTCTTTTCAATGTTTGTGAAATTTGAATGAAGTTTTCCCTTTGGGGACATTCTGTATCTTTTTCTCATGATTTGTACAGAGAAAGGTGATCTCTGAAATAAATCTACTTTTAATGTTTTCCAACAGCACCAGATGAAGATCACACAACCCCTGGAACAAAAAAGCAGGTAATTTAAAATTCTCTTTCCTAATACTGTTTGTGTGGCTAGAGCAGAGGTAAAATAAGCCCCCTAGCTCATAAGCATAGGCTGCCCGTGTGCCCAGTAAAAGTCTTTTTTGAGATTTTCAGGTAGTTCAAACTAAGTTAAAGTAACAGTTATTTTCTGAAAGAAAAACCTAGGAGGACAGAAGCCTAACATATTTTCCAGACAGGGAACAACATATACACATTTGAAGTTTGGAATGCAGAAGTGATTGTTAGTTGAGGATGAAATGACAGGACATTGAGAATCATTAAATGTCCAGATCCACGGTGTTCATTATGCCATGTTTTAAAAACATAAACCCTGCTTTGGGGTTCAGACAATTCTCCTAGGATCCTTGAGTTTACCTCTTCACTGTATTGGAGAGAAGGTTCATAAGTAGAGAGAAAGGCTGTGATAAAACTTTTGTTTTCTTTTTCAGAAGTGGACTGTAGAAGAAAGCGAGTGGATCAAGGATGGAGTGCAAAAATACGGGGAAGGAAACTGGGCTGCCATTTCTAAAAATTACCCGTTTGTTAACCGAACAGCTGTGATGATTAAGGATCGCTGGCGGACCATGAAAAGACTTGGCATAAACTGAAACAGGCTTTCATTTCCACAGAATTCACAGGAGCATGGTTCCTAATAATAGCCCCTGATAGTCTGCTGTTTCTTTCAGAAGCTGGGCTGGGATGAGAATTTTGGGCAACCTCCTTCCACATGGGGGAGGTCCCAGTTCCACTTCATCACTGTCGGAGATCATGGAGCTAAGAAGCAAAGCCAAGTCCACCCATGTCTTTGGCAGAGATGACAGGCACACAGCTTGTACAGTGCCAGAATATCATTAGTGTTTCCCTTACTTAGTGGTTTGCTTAAATTTAAATCCCTGATAATCTGTAGAACCTTCTCCTAGAAAATGGTGGAGTCTATTAGGAGCCACTTACGACTCCATGACCTGTTAAAACCAGCAACATGAGCATTATTTGGAGTGAACTTGTTCACATAAAGTTTTGGCCTTGTGATGCAAATGCAAAGGAACTTTGTCTGTTGGGAGCCCGGGTTGATGAGAGACCAGTCCTTGTGGAATGGTAAGATTCTCTTTAAAAATGGTTTAGCCAGTTAAGACAACCCTAGACCTGACTGCCTTGGCATTTGCTCTTAATATCTGCTGGGCTATGTAGGCAGGTTTATCCTCCATTTCTCATGTGGTTGAACCAGTGTGTTTTTTGGTAAAAGTGATTATGTAGATAAGCTTAGCCTCCCCTCCCCGCCCCCTGCCTCTTTTCCCAATTCCCTTCCTTATGCTGGGCTTTTGAAGCTTAAAAAAAAAATCCTGATTGAATATAAATGCCTAATTTCATTCTTTATGAAGTGGTTGCTTCCACCCAATTCCGTACTTGTGGTATGTTAGTGTCTTGCACTGCAGTTCAACATTCCCTTTTCCTTTTGTACTGTGTTGTGCTTGCTGTCTCTCTTGGACATCCTTAAAGACTGTCTTTTTAGCAAAAAATTTCAGTAAGGTGTTTTCTGTAATCTTTTTTTAAAATATGAGAACTAATTATCGTCCATACTTGTAGCATTCTTCATTAAAGTCTTGCTTCTCTCAAATTTAAGTAGCTGTTTAATTGCAGCACAACATGTATTCACAGATGGAGGTAGCAAAAGGTTGAACAAACTTTGCTGAGCTATTTGGTCATGAAGCTGGTGTTGGCCGGTGCAGTGGCTCACACCTGTAATCCTAGCACTCTGGGAGGCCAAGGGGTGAGAATCGCTTGAGCTCAGGAGTTCCAGACCAGCCTGAGCGAGAGTGAGACCCTGTCTCTACTAAAAATAGAAACAAATTAGCTGGACTACTAAAAATATGTAGAAAAATTAGCCGGGCATGGTGGTGCATGCCTATAGTCCCAGCTACTCGGTAGGCTGAGGCAGGAAGATAGCATGAGCCCAGGAGTTTGAGGTTGCTGTGAGCTAGGCTGATGCCACGGCACTCACTCTAGCCTGGGCAACAGAGTGAGACTCTGTCTCAAGAACAAAAAAAAAAAAGCTGGTGTCAAACTATTTGGGGCGCTGTGATCCTTGGAAGCTGTGTCAAACACATGATGTCAAAGTTTCTTCTTGTTTTGCCTCTTACCTCATATAACATAGTTTTTTTTTTTTTGAGACAAATGAATTCCCCCTTTTCCACTTGAGTAAAAGGCAAGGTTTAAAAAAAATGCCAAAAGTTTTAAGGGCAATATACATAACCTTAACATTTGTACCCCCATAATATGCTGAAATAAAAAATGCTAAAAAGTTTTAAAATTCATCTTTTAGTTATAAGTTGAAAACATTGTACAGCTTTATTAACTATGCATTTGGAGAGTTGGTACTACTGTTTTTCTATCAGCCAACCCCAAGTGAAACCACAAGGAGAAGTTGAGAACTTGAGCTCCTGTTGGTCCAGCTACCTTCTGGTTGCAGCTAGGTGTGGTCTCCCTCGAAACCAGATTGGAATCCTGAAGCTTTTCTCCCCTCAAGTCACATCATTAGATGGTGTTCTGTAGGTAGAAAGGTGATGGACTTAGGGAAGCAAAATATCCCAGCGTTTTTCTCAAACTTGAGAAATGCCTAAGTCCATGAATATTTTTTCATGGAACCTCAGTGTTGTTACAGCGTTACTGAAGTGTGTACAAACGTTAAACTGTGCTTACACGGTTTCTGTAGAACTATAAAACTTTCCACAAACCGACAGTTGTTTTGCTGCGTCCAAGTTGCCGCTGATGACTTGAGTAGTGTTAGGACTGTGGCAGTGGTGGGACTCAGTGAGGGAGGCTTGTGCCACACTGCATTGAGAGATGATCCCAGCCTCTCCCACTTCCCCTTGAGTGAGACTGCCACAGAGTAACTGTGCCTCTAGTGCCGTGATGTCATTTGGCCTTTGCTAGAACTGAACCACATTTATGAAGTCTGTTTTCTGCTTTATTAGCTTGTGACACTTGGAGCCAATGGGATGAATTCTGAAGCACTTCTTGGCTAGCAGTTGCTAACACTATTGTGGTTTTTAAGATGATGACTACAATGAAAATGTTTACACGTTGTCAGAACTCAAGAGGCTGCCAGCTTGAGAAACATGGTCCTGGTGGTTAAGAGCATAACCCCGCCCCTCAGGACCCCAGCTCTGCCAGGTGTGCTAGTGGGACTGTGAGCCAATCACTTGACTCTCTTGAATGTCAGTGTCCTTGTCTCTGAGATGGGAGCTCACAGCACCTCTGGAAGGGGGCTGTTGTGAGAGTAAAATGAGATGCAGGTAAGGCTGGGTGCGGTGGCTCACGCCTGTAATCCTAGCACTCCGGGAGGCTAGGGCGGGAGTATTGCTTGAGCTCAGGAGTTCCAGACCAGCCTGAGCAAGAGCGAGACCCCATCTCTACTATAAATAGAAAGAAATTAGCCAAACAACTAAAAATAGAAAAAATTAGCCGAGTATGGTGGTGCGTGCCTGTCATCCCAGCTACTTGGGAGGCTGAGGTAAGGAGGATCGCTTGAGCCCAGGAGTCTGAGGTTGCTGTGAGCTAGGCTGATGCCACGGCACTCTAGCCCAGGCAACAGAATGAGACTCTGTCTCAAAAAAAAAAAAAAAAGATGCGGGTAAGTCTCTCAGCTCAGCACCTGCCATGAAGTCAGTGGGTGTTGAAGGCATGAATAAAAAAAGATTGAGGGTTTGAACAATATAATAGTCTTTGAGTGGGTTTTGGATAGCTTTTTTCTTTTTTTTTTTTTTCTTCTAGTGGGCGCTGAAGAAGTCATGAATAAAAGAAGAAAGACTGAGTGTTACTGAATATAATAGTCTTTAAGTGGGTTTGGATAGCTTTAGATGGATGTATCAGTCGGGGAAGGTAGCAGAATGAGGACTTTGAGCAGAGAGGTTTGACTACTCTCTTTTCACTCTTCATCCATTCCAACTTGTGCACACACATGCTGTGCTTTGCTCTGAGCTATAGCATTGGGCAGAGAGTCTGCTGAAACAGGTGTCTGATTTATTTCATAGGAGCAATAGGTATCCCCTAGCAATTTGACATGAATAAGAGAAACATCTCCCCAGCCAGCTTTTTAAAATATATTCAGATGGTTGTAAATAAATTTACCCAAGAAGAACTGAAAAATGACAGCCCAAAGGATGGATGGAAATATCTCTTCAGGTTTGGGAAGCCATTGAGCTTTTGAGGTGAAGGCAAAACCTCTTCCTGTGAGCCAAAATGGGAGTGTCATGGCAGTTCTATTATTGAATATCTATGCATGGCCCTGATATTGGCCTAAATGTGACTCATGGCGTTAATGATTATCCCACGGTTGTCTGAACTATTTGGTCCCACTGGGCTGCGAGCAGTACACCTGCAGAGGCGTCTCCAGAAAGCAGCATGTTCCCCTTGCTCTTTGGGGCTGGGCTGGCGGTTCTGAATCTAGTGACCTCTGCTAGCAGCCAGAAGACAGAACCCTTAAGTGGCTCTGGGGAACAGCTGCTCTTCCGAGGAGCTGACCGACATGACTTTGCCATCATGATCCCTCCCGGAGGCACAGAATGCTTTTGGCAATTTGCCCACCAGACTGGATACTTCTATTTCAGTTATGAGGTATGTGGGCTCTTCTGGCCATACTTGGGGCTTTTTTTGTTTTGTTTTTTCCTTTTGTAAAGTGGATCAAGTTTTAGACCAAAACAAGGTCTGTTTGTCTTTATTATGTTGTGATTCCCCACGTGTTAACGGAAACTAGAGCTAGAGGGAAACAGATGAATAATCACCAACAGGACCTAAAACATATGGTTTGGCTTGCCAAATGAGAGGCTATAGAAGTGTGTTCAGAGCCATGGGACAAATGGGGTGCCTCTCCCTGGAGAGCTAATCATCACATTTACTTGGATTTGGGGATGAGAGGGGAGAGAATACATTTTAAAAATATAATAACAAGACAATATGGTACTTTGGAGACTGATCCAGAGAGTTCAGAGAAAGCTGCTTCAGTTTATGGGTGTGGAGGGGCAACATCTGCTCTCCTGCTTTTAATGGTAAATCCAGCAAATTGGAGAGTCACCAGCTCAAGTTTTCTCTATTCAGGCAGACAATCCTATTTTTTTAGGTAGGTCACCTGTTCACAGGTCAAGTACTTTAATCCATACTGTGGTTTTATACTACACTGCTCAAGGATGGTGAGGTCAATATTAAGGTTAGGGGTGTGTTCATTTCCTGTGTTTTTTTTTTTGTTTGTTTGTTTTTTTGAGACAGAGTCTCACTCTGTTGCCCAGGCTAGAGTGCTATGGCATCAGCCTAGCTCACCGCAACCCCAAATTCCTGGGCTCAAGCGATCCTCCTGCCTCAGCCTCCCAAGTAGCTGGGACTACAGACATGTGCCACCATGCCCGGCTCATTTTTTCTATATATTTTTAGTTGGCCAATTAATTTTTTTCTATTTTTAGTAGAGACGGGGTCTGACTCTTGCTCAGGCTAGTTTTTGTTTGTTTGTTTGTTTGTTTGTTTTGAGACAGAGTCTCACTTTGTTGCCCAGGCTAGAGTGAGTGCTGAGGCCTCAGCCTAGTTCACAGCAACCTCAAACTCCTGGGCTCAAGCAATCCTGCTGCCTCAGCCTCCTGAGTAGCTGGGACTACAGGCATGCGCCACCATGCCCGGCTGATGTTTTCTATATATATTAGTTGGCCAATTAATTTCTTTTTATTTATAGTAGAGACAGGGTCTCGCTCTTGCTCAGGCTGGTTTCGAACTCCTGACCTCGAGCAATCCACCCGCCTTGACCTCTCAGAGTGCTAGGATTACAGGCATGAGCCACCGCGCCCGGCCCTCAGGCTAGTTTTGAACTCCTGACCTTGAATGGTCCTCCCGCTTCAGCCTTCCAGAGTGCTAGGATTACAGGTGTGAGCTACTGTGCCAGCTTCCTTTGTTCTTTATCTGAAAAACCTGTTAACTTTCTAATTTTTGTTTACACAGTAATAGACTATGTTGATTTTACTGTACTACACTAGAACTTAAAATTTATTTTAAATTAACATATCAAAGCTTTTTCTTATCTCTGAATTTATATTAGAACGGTAGCTTCTGGTAGCTTCTAGTCAGCTCACCGTAGCCTGGGTTTATTGTAGGTGTGGGCTGCCAGGCAGCAAATGCCCAGATCTGGGACACCACCAGGGAGCTCAACAACCAAGTTCATTCAAGAACTCTACAGCCAGAATCACATATATTAACCAATTCACACCAGCTGTGGCATGTGAGCAAGACATGACTTCTTTATCTGCAGTGGTGCTGTTAGCATTTTGAGCAATTCTTTGTTCTGCTGTACCGCTACTGACATGGCAGATGTTTAGCTTTGCTGTGTCCCCCTCCCCAACACCGTCACTGTGACAACTAAGAATCCTCTACTCAGTTCCAAATTCCAGGGGTTAGGCGGTGCCAACCCAGATTGATATCCCGTGCTGACGACTGTGGGATGTCACTCTTACCACTCAGCTGGCGTCTTAGTGACATAGCAGGGTCTTTGTTCCCTCTTTGATGTGTCTTTGCAGGTTCAGCGGACAGTGGGGATGTCACATGACCGACACGTTGTTGCCACCGCACATACCCCACAGGGTCTCCTCATAGGCACCTCCCAGGATGTTCGGGGCCAGATTAACTTCTCTACTCAAGAGACAGGTCTGTTTTCATCACCCCAGCTATTATAATAATCATAGGTTTCTATGAAATTGGGAAAATAATGAGGAAATACATAGATATGGTGAAACAGTAGGGGGAAAAAAATCAGCCTTTAGCACCAAAAACCAGTGTTCCTGGAGACTGCCAATGTCTAAGGATGTCAAGAGTTAGTCCCCTGGCAGTTTGGTGTCAGGTCTACAGGTGACCATTGTAATTGTAGGGTTCAGCAGGTCAATTTTATCTCATCATCTCCAACTGATCAGATTCTGGGAAAGTGACCAAAACAGAGACCCATGTATAATACAGAATTCCAATTAATAAATTTATTACAAGGATGCATTTCTTTCCAGTCATCAGAATACTTAAATGAGTTACTAAAAGCAGATTCAGAACAAAAGAACATGCATGGCCATGGGAAATATCCACAACAAAGCACTTCAGCAGTTAGAAAATTCCTATATCCAGGCGGGGCGTGGTGGCTGACGCCTGTAATCCTAGCACTCTGGGAGGCTCAGGCAGACGGATTGCTCAAGGTCAGGAGTTCAAAACCAGCCTGAGTGAAACCACGTCTCTACTAAAAATAGAAAGAAATTAATTGACCAACTAAAAATATACATACAAAAAATTAGCCGGGCATGGTGGCGCATGCCTGTAGTCCCAGCTACTCGAGAGGCTGAGGCAGCAGGATTGCTTGAGGCCAGGAGATTGAGGTTGCTGTGAGCTAGGCTGATGCCACAGCACTCTAGCCTGGGCAACAAAGTGAGACTCTGTCTCGAAATAAATAAAAAGAAAAAGAAAATTTCTATATCCAAATCAAGCCTGTCCCACTTTGGACAGCACCAGTCAGTCTTAACTGCCCTCTTTACTAGCCAGGTATACTAAAAAAGACAGATTTTCTTAACAGGGTCATCAGACAATCCTATGCCTTTCAATCATTTGGACTTTCAAAAGCTGCCACACCTTTGTAATCCCACCACCACCTGATCTTCCAACTCCCCCTGCCCCCTCACACACAAAGGGAGGCAACCCCACGTGGAGAGCCAGCTCGAGTCAGTAGAAACCCCCAAAGCGCTAGTCACTGTACAGAACACCTTGCAGGCAAATACTCCAGCAGGACAGCTTCTTCACAATGAATGCATCAATTTTTTCCTCTAGTTTCAAGTTCAAGGTGGCATCAGCAGCTCTAAAGGTATACAAGGAGCAGGCAAACGCCATGCTCTTCATTTCAACTCAATCTGTTGAGCAGCAGTTATCTTAATGTGAGATGTGGGAATTAAAGGTTGGAAAAGAGGGAATAAAACATTTTCTGTCCAGTATGGAAAGAACTAAGGTTACTGAAATTTGGCAAAATATAATCATTTTAAGTTAATATGTAATAAGTTTCACATAAGATCAGTGTCTTCCATGTACAAAGTGGGATCTTTGTACTTCCTAAAAAGAAGCTGCTATAGTAGCAATTCTAAAACTGGAGAGTAGGTATCTCTAGAGGAACCTTAACAAAGGGTGGGAGACCGAAGACTTGCTAATGACCTAGGAATTCCTACAGGTTTTTATGAGCTTTGTCTAAAAAATCAGCAAAATCACTTTGGTTCTGTGCAAGTGTACCTCAACTTTGGAGTCTTCTATGAAGAGCCTGAGATGGACCACAAACAGAATGAAAGAAAACAACTGAATGATACTCTGGATGCAATTGAGGTAATGGAGTGTGTTTTGTAGGAGAGAAACATCTGTAAAAATTGATTTTAAATTTGGAGGGAAGATCAAAATTATGGGAGTAATTCCATTTGAGTGAGGGTTCATTTGGGTAGAAACCAAACAGGCAAGGGGATTTGAATCTTTTTTTTTTTTTTTTTGAGACAGAGTCTCGCTTTGTTATCCAGGCTAGAGTGAGTGCCGTGGCGTCAGCCTAGCTCACAGCAACCTCAAACTCCTGGGCTCAAGCAATCCTCCTGCCTCAGCCTCCCGAGTAGCTGGGACTACAGGCATGTGCCACCATGCCCAGCTAATTTTTTCTATGTATATTAGTTGGCCAATTAATTTCTTTCTATTTATAGTAGAGACGGGGTCTCGCTCTTGCTCAGGCTGGTTTCGAACTCCTGACCTCGAGCAATCCGCCCGCCTCGGCCTCCCAGAGTGCTAGGATTATAGGTGTGAGCCACCACACACGGCCAGTTGAAAATGTTTTATTTTTAGAGATGTCACCTTTGGAGTTAAAAAAATAAGCACTATATTCATTAAATAGTTTTGTTTTACAATCCAGGTAGTCTTTAAAATTTCTGTCTATAAAACGTTGTAATTTTAAAAAATATTTTAACAATTCTAAAGATTTTGAGAAGCATAGGAAAGGATAAAGAAGCTAAATTTTTATTTCAGAGTCTTTTTTTTTGTGTTTTTTTTTTTGAGACACAGTCTCGCTTTGTTGCCCAGGCTAGAGTGAGTGCTGTGGCGTCAGCCTCGCTCACAGCAACCTCAATCTCCTAGGCTTAAGCAACCCTACTGCCTCAGCCTCCCGAGTAGCTGGGATTACAAGCATGCGCCACCATGCCCAGCTAATTTTTTCTATATATATTAGTTGGCCAATTAATTTCTTTCTATTTATAGTAGATACTGGGTCTCACTCTTGCTCAGGCTTGTTTCGAACTCCTGACCTCGAGCAATCTGCCTGCCTCGGCCTCTCAGAATGCTAGGATTACAGGCGTAAGCCACTGCACCAGGCCCCCTTTTTTTTTTAAGAGAGAGTTTCACTCTGGCTAGTGTAAATGGCGTCATCATAGGTCACTGCAACCTCAAACTCCTGGGCTCAAGCAGTCTTCCTGCCTCAGCCTCCAGAGTAGCTTGGGACTACAGGTGTGCTCCACCATGCCCAGCTAATTTTTCTTTTTCTTTTAGTAGAGACAAGGTCTCACTCTTACTCAGGCTGGGCTCCATCTCCTGAGCTCAAGCGATCCTCTGTCCTCTGCCTCCCAGAGTGCTAGGAATACAAGCATTAGCCACCTTCACCCGGTCCTTATTTCAGGGTCTCTGATTAGTGCTTTTAGTCCAGTACAGTCAGGTAACTAAAGGTTCACAAAAGAAATTATGTTTTATGAAATCAAAGTGAAGAAGAAAACATTTCAGCTTGGGATCATCCCATCCCAGAAAAAGACTGAGAAAACAGTTTATAAAAAGCAAGATCATATAATCAAATTACATTCATAAGGCCCAACACTTAGTAATAGAAATACATAATATATGCAATATAAAAATAATTCTTACCATTTATTCAACACCTATCATTTCCCAGGCACTGTGCTAGATGCTTTACAATCATGATTTCCAATTCTAAAAACCATTCTTAGGTAGATAGCTAAAGCTGTATTTTGTTGCTTGTTTGTGTGTTTTTAAAAACAGAAGAAGAATGAAGCTTATTAAAGATCTGAATGACTTAGCCCAAAGGCCATACGAGGCTCATAGCGCAGCTCAGAACTGGGGTTTGGAACCACACCAACAGCACTGACTGTATAGAACAAGTAGCTGAAGTGAATGGCTTTGTTTGTGGACAAATTTATTTGTAAGATCCCAGACATGGGCCGCCTACTAGTCTGATATGTCAATCATGTATGCTTTCATGATATTATAAATAACAGCAGAAAATCCGCACCTTGGTTGTTTTCTATCATGAGTTGGGAAAACAAAGTGTGATCACAGATAACATAGTTTATAGCCTATTCTTGTCTCAGTTCAAAGGATTCAGAATCTGGTTACTCAGAACAGAAGCCAGCTCTGACTCAAAGTATAAAATAGTATACCTAGTCACAACCACGAGAGATCTGAAACCCCATTTTGAGCATTTTCTGCTATGATAAGAATCCAGCGTGCATTTGTCAGTGATAGAATATAAAACTAGAATTCCTGAAGGATCACAGTGTCAACAAATCAGCATGATTGGGGAAGTCTACACAAACATATGGAAACAAATGCTCGGCCCTTCCATACAGCCCAGCTGTAAGAGTCTTGTGATGATTTCTTTTTAGGTCAATGTCTCTTCAGCCGCACATATTCTCCAAGTCTGCTGATTGAAATACCACAATCGCCATGGGGCTCACTTTTCTGCAGTCTTGTGTAGATTTTGCTGCCCACCCCAACCCTGGCGATTCAAAAGAGACACTCAAGTCATCAATTATACCATGCCGAGGACTCTAACGAAAGATTTAAAAAGTAACAAAATAAAAAAATATTACACGTTCTGTCTTTGGAGGAAGTTCAAAAGGTCCGAAATTTCAAGTCTTTCACCCTGATGGACTAAAAATAGTATCTTTCTTAAATCAAAAAGGTCCTCGGTTTTTGTAATAGCGAACATCTCTTTTTTTTTATTATTCAGCGTAAAACCTTGTGACTGGTTATTTAGGAAGGCATCTCTAGCTTACCAAAGGGATGTCTGCCATGGATATTACAGCCAGCACCCTGGTTACTGAGAGTATTTTCAGTGTTCGAGCCCAGACCAGATTTCAACACAATGGTTCCCATACAGGAAGGACTTTCTGCTCCAGGCTTTATCACACGTTTATACTATAGAAGAGAATTTGAAATCTAAGGCACAAAGAACGCTAAGTAGGTTATTATCCTGCATATGAAGGCTGAGCCTGGGAGTCTCTGGTATAATGTTTTGGGCAAGAGATAGTAAAGAAGAAGAAGGATGCATGTTTCCTTCAAACTTGCTTGGTCTCGAAACACAGTGCTGCCAGAAGTTCGTGTTCCTGAACTCTACAAGCAACTTCGCCATGGACGCAGGTTAACAGCTCTTTTTTCTGCCGACCCAGTATCCTCCTCGAGCTCCACGTATTTGCATTGTTGCTGAGCTGTCTGCACAAACTTTCCTACTTAACTAACGTAACTAGGACTACCTCAGGCGGCAGCACTCCTATCCATGCCCAAGCAGGCGCAAGACCTCTAAAGAAATCTCCATGGTTGACACTATCCAAGCATGTCAGGGCTCCGTGACAAGAAAGCCACCAAAACGTGCGTCCTGATGGGAGCCCTCATCCTTGACTTCATCCCCATGGCGAAATGAAACGCCTAGAAACCTTGCAAGGTGCAGACGGTGAGATCCAGGCTGTGATGTCAGGCGAAACTTGTGGGTCTTAGGATTTTCCGGAAGCAAGGTCCCCAGCGACACAGCTTGTCCCGGAGATATTGGCGCAGCTTCAGGATTCTTCTGCGCACTAAGAGAGTTAAGGAGAAGTGAGACTCGCAGATGAGAGGCTGGTGACAGAGATTCCCACCTGGCGGCATGCTGCGGCTTCCTGGGCCCTCCGCTCAGCCTTCACGTAGTACACCGGTCGTTGTGCAGCGCTTGAAACAGTAGTGCCGTCGGGCCGTCGACAGCAGCTGAAGAGTTCTCCCGATGCTGAGGCAAAAGAAGACCGGAGGCCGCGGCCTTGGGATGACTCGTCCCGACACCCCAACCCCAATTCTAGCCCCTTCCCACACACATCCCCTCATCCGCCCGCGTGTCCTACTATTGGCGATCTTCTCAAACATACACAGTTCTTCAGTCAAAGGCCGCATTTCCGTGGGCTGGAGCCCAGATTCTTCGTGCCTCGGTAAGCCGAAACGGAAGTCGACCGCCGGCCTGCTTCCTGGCAGAACCCAAAGCCTGCTTCTAGCCCCAATTTCACGCTTACCGCTCCAGTATCCTGGAGGACCGCCCGGAGAAAGAAAAACCGCCGGGAGAAAACCATAGAGATGCGGGAATGGCCCAAACTTCTTCCGGTCTAGGTTCTGAGCCAGGCGCCCTCGCGGTTCGAGGGGAAGTGCGGGCTGGTGTTGGGAAGATGCTGCGGCGGCTACTGTCCCAAACCCAAGTCACGGCTGGCCACTGCAACGGCACGGTAAGCGTGCTCTCGGGAAGTGGAGATGAAGCGGCTCCGGGTCGCTGTTCCGGGACCGCTTCCCGAGGCTCATGTGGCGGGAGCGGCCCGATGTGGGCCGCTACCTCGGAGTTGACGGCTCGGGCTGGGAGCGGCTGCGGCGCGAGCCCGGAGGTCCTGCGGAAGGAGCGGGCGCAGCTGCTGCAGCAGACGCGCGTTTGGCCTTCGCCAACTACAAACCTTCATCCGCGGCGCCGAGCACCACGGAGCGATCCACCCGCTGTTTGGCGAGTGAGGCGTCGCCGGACCGCCTGCTTCGACGCGTTGCCAGTTTCCAGCAGAGCTGCAGGTGCGGCGCCTGGCATTAAAGGGGCTTTTAACTGTAGATAGCTGACATTTACGATAACAGAAATAAGCTATCACGTGTAATAGCGCTTTGCCGTTGTAGGCTCTTTCGTGCGAGGCGTTTTATTAAACTCAAACAGCCTTTCGAGTTAGGTAGCTTATCCCGATTTGTACGTGAGGAAGTTGAGAACAGAAAGGTTAGTGATTGTCCAGGGAGCAGAATAGTAAGGTTTCAAGTCGGAGTTTGGAACCCAGGAGCACGTCCTCTCTGTAGGCTGTTGTGAGCCTGTCCTTTGGGTCTGAGATGTTAGACCACTCTATGTGTCAGCTTAATATATGTGCACATTCATCTGGAGGGTCGATCTGTTCCAACATTTGAAGGGGAAGTATAAGGAAATCATCCCATTTGGGGCTCAAATGGATTATAAGAAGTCTCTTTGTTCCTCTCTCTAGATCCTCAGTCCATTGTTCTAGTTATGCCTTCCACCCTTTTTATTTTGTATTTTTTTTGAGACAGAGCTCACTCTGGTGCCCAGCTAGAATGAGTGGGGTCATCATAGTTAACTGCAACCTCTAAGCTCCTGGCTCAAAGCCGATCTTCTGCCTCAAGCTCCAGAGTAGCTGGATTACAGACCCGTGCACCACACCTGGCTAATTTTTCTATTTTGGTGGAGGTGGGTCTCAGCTGTCTCGAACCTGGACTCAAGGGATCCTCGCTGCCTTGGCCTCCAGCTTTCTGATTAATTAAAAAAATTTGAGCCTTGTGGTGCGTTGATATTAAACAAAGTTTTGTATCCTTTCCATTGCCCCACATAGGGGACTGATAAGCAGGTTTTGCGAAGTTAAGGGAAGAAAGGAGAAAGTTGACTGTGGCAGGAACTAAAGAATGAACAACTAGAAGGAAGACTGAGACCTGAGGAATGTGGGTAAGCTTCAGGCTTCTGAGGCTAATAGCAAGTTATTAAAGAACATTCTTACTCTGTGGTCTTTTATTCTTACTCTGATACATTTACCTTCTGTCAGGTTTAGTGTTACAGTGCTTCACACGTTATTCCATTTATCTCACACCTTATGAGTTGGGGTGCCTTTACATTTACAGTGAGAAACGTTTCAGAGATGTTAAATACCACGCTAGTAAAAGGGAGGAGGCATTTCAGATCTATCAATGATTGTTGTGTGTTTTGAGACAAGTGTGTGATCTCTCTGGGGTAAAAATTTTCCTTCAGTATTTAGAACTTACCTCATAAATCAGTGCGAGGATAATCCAGATCATTCAGCCAGTCCAGGCTCATAGTAGAATATGGGTTGTAAGGACTTGTAGCTTAACGGCTTGGGCACAGGCATGAGGGCAACGGTTCTCTTGATTTTACTAGGACTTTGGTGAAGGAAGCTGAGGAGATCAGCACCAACCGACGGGATGAACCCTGACACTAAAGCGGCACACAGAAATGCCTAGATATTGGAGATTCCTCAACTAATGGACACTTGTGTCCGGAACACAGTTATGAAGAGGCCGGAGCTTGCAGCTTATGGTACGCCGACTGAAAGGAAATACTCTCCAGTCCCTGTCATTCAGGTAACCAACTTAGCCAGAGAGGATCAAAGTGAGTTTTATGGTCATTTTTCTGTTGGTCAGACACAACCTTTAGGTAAGAAACTCTTGCTTTTCACATCAGAGTTTCTGCAGCGCAGGAGTTTAACATAAAACATGTCATTCATTTATTTCAAAGATATGTATTAATCATGTTGCCAAGTACTGTTCTAGGGGTGGGGAACAGTAGTGAACAAAGCAGACAGGACTTGGTTCATGAAGTCCGATCTAGTGGACAGTCTGCCGATGGGAAATGAATAATAGGATATTTAGTATGGTAAGTGTCTGAAAAATAACCACGGAATGAGTAGAGGCAGGCCTAGTAGTTTCTAGGTAAGGGATCAGAATGCCTTCTGAAGTAATATTGAACAACCTAAATGAAGTGGAGGGAGTCAAGCCATGCAAAGACCGGGGAAAGGATGCAAACTAGAAAGTGGGAAGAACAGAGGTGCAGAGCTGAGGTGGGAAGAAGGGAGTGATTTAAGGGATACATGAAGATAGCCAGTGTGACTGGATTGTAGTGAGCACCGGAGAGCATTAGGAAGCAGCTGAAGCTGGATGACCGCAGGCAGGGCCTATTGACCCTGATCAGTTAGTTGGAGTTTTATTGATTGCAGTGAGATCATGCGAAGCGTTTGAAGAAGAAATTACCGATCTGCCTGTGTGTGGGTGAAGCCTGTAATCCCGCTACCTGGGGTCAAGCCCAGGGGTTCAAGCCCAACCTGGGCAACACACGCGAAACCCTGTCTCTAAATATAAATATACAAAGAATAAGAAAAAGTTAGCTAACCAGATCTTGTTGGGAACCGCAAGATCAGGCTTAGGAAATCTACTGATTCGAAAAGCCATGGGAAGTGGTCTGTAATATTCGGGCTAGTGGAATGGGTTCAAGTGTCGCTTCCCAGCACGGTGTGACCGCACTCTTGGTTGTCAGGGCATCGGGTGATATGAAGGTGCGCCAGTCCATGAGCTGATGCTGAGCCAGCTATCCGCACGTGAGGACCAATTCAACTCCAGTTCCCGCCTGCCTCCGCTGTATTGGTACCTGCGGCGCATGGAGTGTCTTCATCCGAGGCTGAGCTGAGAGGAAATTCTTTCGGCCCGAGATGCTTGGCTCCGTTCCATCCTGACTGCATCCCTAGACGATGATCCTTTTCCATATCACGAAACCATTGGCCTTGCCGTGTCCATCTCTTTGATATCATCAACGCCATACCGTTCCATCTCTCAGACTGAGACCCACGGCTCCCCCTGGCGGCGGGAGAACGTTGACGATGAGAGTGCCATCTTCCAGGCTG